ACGTTAATTATATTCGAGTACCGTACCTAATGCGGTCCCTCTGGGTTCCTCTGGACTTACAATCGGGTCCCTCTGGCAAAACATTGAGTCAGGTAGTATCGTTGTTAAGCAACCTCGAGGAAGCGAAGCACATCTCCGGCTGGGCAACTACAACAGCTCGCAACAGCCTATTGCCGTATGCTAGTATGCTGTAGTATGCTACTCAGTAATGAGAGCCTGGCCCAGAGAAGCCTCGATATTTGGAACACATTACTGCAGTGGCCCTAGGGGTAGCCGACTACGGTATGACAGCCGTTATATAGTTAACGCGTGTCTTAGTTGTATGGATTCAGTGTTCGCTCCTGCCGTCAGGCAGGACGGTGATGCCACGTAGCAAATAACAGGTAGTACCAGTGGAACAGAACACAGTTAGATTCGGTTAACTGTACGGTTATAGTTTTATTGCTTCCTACTAGTTTACAAATAATTCCCCTGCATTCGTATATGCAGCGGATCCTATAACCACTAGACTAATATTGAAGAATTAACGCGTCGCCGGTTTCGTCTTCCCCTCTCCCGTTTGAGGAAAAACCTAACTGAAATCCCGTTCTTCTCCTTCCCCGTTTTATTCCCCTCTCCCGTTGTTCTCCGGTTTTCACCTACCTGAAAACCCGTGCTTCTATTCCCTCTGTTATCTCTCTCCTCGAGACCTAAAATGCTTTCTCCCTCTTTCTCTTCCTCTTCTTCTTCTTCTTCTTCTTCTTCTTCTTCTTCTTCTTCTTCCTATCTAGCCTGAAAAATAACGCTAACACTGCTCGGTTCGGCGCGCCTGATATCCATAGCTGGTAACGCCCCCCTATGTGCCGTTGTTTAGCACGCGTTGTCAAAACACTACTCCCCACGCAGATTTCGTTAGCTGCGTGGTGCAACCACAGAAATAGAATAGAAGTTTTTTTCTATTCTTTTCTAGTTCTATTCTATTCTTTTTCTATTCTATTTCTGTGGGTGCAACAGTTTCACCTGCTGACGCAACCCGTGGCTGGTACGATTAATTATTGCACCACCTGATGCAACTCGTTTCTAAGTAAATATTCCTCTCTTCGACAACTTAGACTAGTGTGACGGCGCGAGTGAATCGAGAGTCGGGGAAATAGCGATTCGGGGAGTAAAATTCGGGGATAGCGTTCGGGAGGAAAAAGTACCGAACACCGAAACCGCCAAAACCAGCGAATACCGAACACGCTGGTAAACAGGAACAGCCAATCACGGGGCTCGGCCAGTGAGCGATCGATCGGTTGATCACGTGTTAGGTAGGCGTGCGTGACAGAGCGGACGTGTTAGGTAGCGCCCGCTGTAATCGGCTACTGAGAGGTGACTCATGGGGCAGGTTCCCGCGAGGGTATAAGAGGGCACCGCGCGCCTAAAGAAGAGTAGAAGAAGAAGAGTAGCCAGAAGAAGAGTAGTAGAAGATAAGCAGTAGAAAGCAGTAGAAGATAGGAGCAGACACTGAGGAGCAGTAGAGCAGAAAGGATTTACTTAGAATAGATAGAGACTTCTAGAGGCTCGTTCTAGAGTTCTCGGGGGAGTAGAGGGTTTGTGTAGGGAGTTATCCAGGAACCTAC